ACTATACATGATTTTCTTGTTCTGTGTACTTTTTGAAAAACACAAGTTATAATAAATAGCACTTTCAACACCAACATTTTTGCTTGCTGTCAGACTTGATGCCTTCAAGAAACCCTCGCAACATGCCCTTAATACAGTGGAACCTCAATTCAGGGGGCACCCTCGGGACCAAGGCAAGTGTCCCTTGAACAGAGGTGTCCCCCAAATTGAGTTGGTCTGGGGTTTGTTAATGGTAAACCAACAAAGGAAATCTACAAAGTAAGCATTAACCTATCTCTGCGACTTCATATGTTGAATTCACATGAGTGGATTACATCAAGTTAAGTGAGATAGTTCAGTTTTTGAAAGCTTCCATAATTGTGATTAGTGTACTGTTAAAGTTATCAACTCTCTTTGTGGTCAGTCATGTTTTGAGTGCTTAGTGTCCCCTGAATGGGGGTCAAACCCAGGTTTTGGGACCCACAAAATGTGTTCCTTTCCCCTGAAAAGAGGTGTCCCTTCAATAGCGGTAACACATTCAAAGATTATGTGGAAGTTTTTTTCCGGGACCAAATTTTGTGTCCCCTGAATGGAGGTGTCCCATGAATAGAGGCCTCCTAAAGGAGAAGTTCCACTACAATCATGTCCAACAATCAACAAGAAACGCCTACAGACAGCAGCAGGTAGCACCTGTAGTCTCCTATGCAGCCTTCCTCTTTCTGGGTACGTTTTTTTTTTTGTTTGTTTGTTTTTTTTTCACAAAAGGATTAGACGTAATTTTTACATGCAAAAATAAAAATAAAAACCTGCCGGAGGAATTATTGATGGGGCTATCATCCTCTAAGCCGCTATAGAAGATATTACTACGGACACCCTTCACAATAACAAGTGGAAGTTAAGCAAACACCCCTTCATATTAGCGTGCAGTCATTTACTATCACAACCATTTCCCGGCTTTTGACAATAATTACGAACGTCAAATGGGATGAAAACGAGACTTGTGCAACCCATATTCTTAACAATTTAAGTAACCCAACTCCCAATTTTATGTTTTAAAGCACTAATTTGTACTAAGGTACTGGGTCAAGGCGAGGACTTCAAGCTAACAACGGAACTGTCCGAAAAAGTGCAATATCCCCACGACCAGGCAATCAAAAACGAACTAAATGAAGCAATACTGCCTATTTAGATAAAAGAAGCTTTATGTTCAAGATAAAATTTTGTGTGTTTCAAGTAACAAAGACTCAATTCTGTAAGAAGGTGATTCGAATTTTTAACGCACAACCTGTAAAAATACCCCAGCTAAAGAGTCTGCTGACGTGTAAACAAGCACGGTGACCCCATCTTATTATTGCATTTTTTTAATGTTCATATCATGAATATTGATTATGCCAAGTTTTAAAAAAAGTTTGATAGTAGAACAATTTCAAGGGAATTACCATAATTATTATTCTGTGTGAGTTTAAATAAAAATTGACTTGACTTGACTTGACTGACTTACAACAACTGATCCCATCCCTTCCTTTTCAAAGTGAGTGGACTGACTTGAAATTTACTTCAACCAAAAGGATTGAATATACGTTAGTTTCTAATATTAAAGCAACTTTAAAAACCTGCCCTCCCCAGTTACACAATCCCTTCCTCCCATCCCTAAAGTTTTATAGGCCACCCTCCCTCCCTCCCTCAAGCCTAGCGAAGTTTTGTGATACACGTAAACTATTTTTAGTTTCAAAATTCTACTGGTTGCTTTACTTTGTGGAGCCTGAATAGTTTGATTTGTCGACTGAAGGATGTTTCTGTGAGGTGAGCTAAAACGTACACTCGGGGAATGCTGTTGCTTCCTTGTTTCTTTTGTTTTGGTAGTGTGAGGGGCAACAAGTCGACCTCTTCTACTGTAATTCAAAGTAGACAGACTGCAAATTATAAAGTTGCTAAAAAATATATCTACGTTTCCCAACTGTTCATCAGTAGGATGCCTAAAATGCGTGCAATTCCACAATTGGTTTCGGCGCCATTAAATCGTATACCAATTTGCAGAACATTTTAGGACTAGCCACCCACCGTGTGAGCACAGTCGCGGACAACACGTATAAGTTAGGAAAATAACGCAAAGCAAAACTAAGACGTCATTAAACTAACTAACGGTACACGCAACTTACATAAATAAATAATGCACGCGCCCAAAATTAAATTTCGCGCGCACAAGTACCAAGATACAACTGAAATAAAAATCCAAGTAATAAATAAGCAATGTAAGGATACAATGGTGCAATTTAAGGCTGGATTGCAATCTCACCTCCTGCAGGGCTGCACCACACTTCTCGACGATAAGACCTTGGCGATTGACGAATTTATTAAATGAGTTCTGAAGTCGATTGGTTTCAAAGCCTTGTTGTCTGAGACGTAATGAAAGTCCGAAAGTCTATCTATGAAGTCAACTTTGGAGGTACAAATTCTAGCATATCCCACCAGTTGAGAAAGCTGGATTGCCGGGAATGTTGCTGTCCATATAAGGAAAGCTGACAATCCGAAATGCAAAGTCCTCTCTCTTAGATGCTGATACAATTAAAATGTACTATGTATTCTAATTAATCCGTCCTGGGAATAAACGAAACAATTAGAACGAGCGAAGCGAGATCGGAATAACTGATATAAACTAACAATTATTATGCCATACGATCACTGGTCATCAATATCCAAAACTCATGAAATCCATATAAAACTAACAAACTAAAATGATTGACAATATTATAACATTGATCATATACTTCCTTCTATGGCGAGTTTTCTTAACTTTCCTTGATCGGGATAACCATGAAACAGTGTAACAGGTAAGCAGTAAATCAAAAGGAAAAATGTCCAATTCAGATCTCGGGTAAAACTAAACTGCTTAATTAAAATTGAGGTTTATCTACTGTTTGAGTTTCCTGTTAAGCGTTAACGAGGCTACCGCAAATTCCTTAACTATGAATTCCTTGCATAGTCCAAAAAACTACGTTTTTACTTAACACTTTCTACTTCTGCAACAAGAAAAAGAAAAAAAAGAGACAAAAGAAAAGACTCAACCTGCAACAACCTGATTTGTTGCAGGGATCGGACAAGCTTGATTAATGTGGGTGATAAAACGCGCAACGTCGCTATTCAACTCGTTTAGCAGTTGCTTTTTTTGCCCGGTTTACCATGCCTTTTTACGTTTGAATTACAAGTAAATTACCGTTTGGATTGGGATATGTCATTCGAATTACTGTTATATTTGCCGGAACTATAAGAATGAAAAACAACAACACAAATACATATAATATGAATTAAGGTTTTTAATTTTCCTTTAAAAAAATTATTGCCGCACCTTCAGAGACAAGCTGTTCTACAACACTCTTCCATTATAAGAGAGGCTCCTTTTTTAAAATTCAGTGCGGGGTTGTGGAACAGCGAGCTCGTTTGTATTCATGCATTTTCTCTGTTAGGTTATAAGCGACGAACAAAACGCGAAATTGTCAGATATTCTAGAACCGTGTTATTTACAGTGCTGTGCATTATTATTGCTTAACTAACTACGCGCTGATGGAGATAAGTTTCGGCCGCTTTAAATGTTGAAACAATTCACTGGTACTGTATAGTCATAATTGGAGCGGAAAGTTAGCACGCGAGCAGGGCGATTCTGCTGTAGTTTCTGCAATGTAGAAGATTACGGCAATGAGGCTACCGAGCTCCGTTCCGGAAATCACAACTACATGTAGTATGAAATGTATTCTGCGTGCAGACGTCTCCTTTTTCAGGTTAGGTTAAATAAACCGTATCAACGGTTTGTTTGACAAAACTCCCGCGAGACAATTTTTTGGTGATTTTATTAATTTTTCCGATCCATTTTTTTTTTTTTCATCTCTACTTTCGCGGCTTTTGCGATACAAACTAAATTCATTTTTAGTTGTGATGGCATTACACTGCTTAATCGTGACGGCGTTTAGAAGAAACTGAATATATTGCGCTTCGCGATTTCGCAAAATTGCTGCGGGAATTAAAAAAATATTTTCTTCCAAAAAAGCGTTTTCACGCTTCTTTTTCTAGTCAATTATCTTGTTTATCTCGTTTTCTTAAGGTCCTTGAGAACTGAATAAGACAATAGTTTATTACCTACAACCCCATCCTCGGAGACCCAGGGGCAGATAGTGGGGACGAGGGAAAGTCTAAACGGGCGGAAAAATATGACACGAAGAAAAGTAAAGAACGGCGAGAAGAGCCCCTGGGGACAATGTCTTACCAGACCAGTTCCAACGGTCGCCGCCGTTCTGGCTTCTGATTGGTGCCAGAAAACTTGTTTTTCTGGCACCAATCAGAAGCCAGAATGGCGGCGACCGTTGGAACTGGTCTGGTAAGACATTGTCCCCAGGGGCTCTTCTCGCCGTTCTTTACTTTTCTTCGTGCCATATTTTTCCGCCCGTTTAGACTTTCCATCGCCCCCTTTATCTGCCCCTGGGTCTCCGAGGATGCTACAACCCAAAAACCTGATTTATTTTGACCAGATCGAAACAAAACTCGGACCTCTGAAATGGAAGAAGAAAACCCTTTTATTTTTTCTGGCTTCGGCCTGCCAACGCCTTAGTGTCTGGTTTGCTTTCATATGATGACATTTTCCTGACAGAAAGGTGTCGGGAAAAACACTTCGCGCTGATCATACGTGGCAAAATCCGCCGCGCCTAAGCTAATGAAGCAAAGTCTCCTGGAAGGCTCCATACAATTCCTTATGACAAAATTATAAGGAATTGTATGGAGCTCTCCGGGATACTTACAGTGCAAGATTGATTCCCCATACCTTGTTATAATGTCATGAATAACAATACCCAGGGATGAAATTATACTACCAATGCAATGAAAAGATCGTATTTCAGTCTGTTTTGACAGCAAGGAAGCAACAAACAAACGCATTTAGATCTGGACAACTGAAACTTTCTGCAAACGAAGGCAAACCTTTGAAGAAGGCCAATCGTGGCACTGCGCTGCGGCTAACCCTTACTCTAAGAAACATGGAAGGCGATCAAGTACTTCTTAGATACTATGTCTTCGTGATAGGGATCTTTACTACACTTCCAAGTATTTCTAGAGGTAACACTCTAACCTGTGTTCAAGCAGTCTATATTTTTAGTAGTCTGGCCCCTTTGGAAAAATTTTTTTTTTTCGGTACATTCCTAAAGCTACCATTTTTTCCTTTTGTCTTTTGAACAGCTTTCAGCCAAGGTTCCGTTAACAACTTTGTCTATGTCAACTTCATGATCAGTGAATTTTCCTACCTCAATATCACAAGTATTGGACGGAATCTCATTGAAGAAGAAAACGATTGTGGCTACACCTGTTTAGAAGATTCCTCATGTTTTTCCTACAACTTGGCTGCCTTCCCTGATGTCAACGGCAAACTTCTGTGTGAACTCCTCCCATCGGACAAATATAACAACTCGGATACGTTCAACGCCAGCGAAGAGTTTCATCATTTTTATATTCCGGTGAGTCAAACTACAGCTAACTACTTATTTATCACAACTTTTTCATTTGAAAGATAATAAATGACCCTCTCATTTGTCTCCCTAGTTATGAGTTTCGGAAGTTAGCATTTGTAAATAAGACACGTATCTCTTTGCTTGGAGAATCAGTCTCCAACTGATGCACTGATCGAACTGTACTTCAAATGCAAAAGAAAACAGGTTTGCTAGGGAATTCGCCTTTAAGCCATGAAAAAAGGGGGGGATGGAAAAAAAAAAAAAAAAAACGCCAAGAGCGTTTTCCAGTGGTAATACGCCTGCCTACTTCTAATGAAACAAACGCTGACATACTTCATGAAATTAAAATTGCTATTACCTTCGAATGTCAGGCAGGTTCAAATAATCTTCCAAACAAAATATTTGCCTTGAGAACTACTCAAAGTTCAATTATACATCTTATTGTTTTAGCCTTCGGCGCCATTAACTTGCATTGATACACCTGTCTTATCGCAATCTGACCGATATACTATCCCTTATTTCTCCCACAAAAATTGTCCAAATTATTTTCTATCGTGGAACAAAATTGTCATCAGCACAAGGTCTTGAAATTCGGTGGTATGGCCACAAATTTAGGTCATAAAACAGAATTCAGGTCTGAGCCCTGTCTGAATTCACGTCTGAGCCCTGTTTAAATAAGCTGTGGTAAAATATATTGTACGCCGCTGTCGGTTCTTAATAATTAATAAATTGACATCACTGAATATAGGAAACAAAATAAAAGGAGAAGAAGAAACTAATTAAAATTCAAGCGAACTTGTATTTCATAACTTAATAGATTTACAATAGGATGAAGGGTCAGTTGTTAACCTCTTCTAATGACTACAAGAAAACTACTCTTGTTTTCTTTACTTAAAGTGAACTAAGACCAGGTTAATTTAATTCCATTATGATAAAATCACAGTGTGTCTCTTGTCCCGCTTATAGTTGATATTACCATTATAGCAACACAAATAAGCTACTCGAATACACACTTAATACAGCAAATTCGTATTTCTGGCGGCTTGTTGAAAAATAAAACAACCTGTGAGACCAAAGGGGCTTATTCGCTGTATAGTGTTTGTCTTTCCTGTTTGATATTGCTATTTATAAAATAACTGAGATAGTACGCGTGATCTGATTGGTCAAAAACCTATGGTTTATTATACTGGTAAACCCATAGAGAGCATAGAAAAAGGCATCTGGGCCACGAGCCATAAACAAAACCGGCTATTGATCTGCAAACAATGAATTTAGAAATGCTAAAAAACAGAACAAGTTACTTACCCAGCACCTCTTAATATCAAAAGCATTGGTTTCCACATTTTATTACTGCCATAGCTTTAGAAGTAATAAAGCACAAAGCTGGAAAGCAGTATAGATTTCACGACGATGCCAAATCGCAGAGAAAGACAACAACTGTGTGAATTTCTGGTGTAGAACGTCGGGGGCACCCAACGTCAATTTTCGGAAAATATCTGTTCGGAAGACGATTTGACATCTAGAATTTTCGGAACATTTGTTCTAAAATTTCTTGCTTTCCTGCCTCTCCTAAGATTTTCGAACATCTAAAAAATGGTATAATTTCCCATTTTTAACGGATTTTTACCCTAAAAAGGTCACCTAGAATTTTCGGGAATCTTTTTTTTTGGCTGAAATTTTCGAAAAGGTAAGTTTTAATCCCTATAATTTTCGGATCACTAGACTTTCAGCTAGGAAATCCGAACAGATGAGAAATTTTTAGGGGATAAAAATATGCCTATATCTACCGTTTAAATACTAAAATACGTTTAACAATGCTATGTTTAAGTGGTTTTGAACTATATTCTCGTTGGGTGCCCCCGGAACGTCTCCAGGAAAACTTAACCATGCCCCAACCAGCAACAAAACGGATAGTTTTAGCATTCCTGATTTATTTTATGTCAAAATTAATTTCCGGAATGAAAGAAATTGTTCCAAAAAGAGATCTCTGATCAAGATATGGTACAAAATCGGCCGCTGTAGGTTGTAAACAAAACTGCCAACGATGATGAAAGATGTCAGAGTTTCGGGCTGGTTTTTTCCAACATTTGCACAAATTATTCGCTGATATCGATGCCATAACCTACCTCAAACCACCTGACTTTACAAATCGACAAATATTAACGCCAATATGTGGCTACGGCAAAGAAACCTTTCTCCCCGCTCTGTATGTTGTTGGTCAATAGCTTTCTTGCTAATTGTGTAGCTCTTTGAAATATACCGACCCTTAATGAAGATTCTCACACATATTCCATATGATAGGCGAGATAAAAACAGGAAACGCAAGGTTCCATGCTCTGATTCAGTTCGATTCAAACAGCTTTGATCAAAACATTCTCAGTTTTGAGAATATTTTATGTTAAACCACAAAAAAGAAAAAAGAAAAGTTGGAATTTTTCGCTTTTTCTCTTTCACCTACCGCGTTCTAGCCTCCCACGCAGACGTTCTTAGGGGTTCGTCACGCGTTCCTGCCCCGCGTTCTCGTCTTTTTGTTGTTGTTGTTGTTAAGTATCAAAACAACAACAAAAAAAGTCTCGTTAGTTAGAATAAGCCTCGCCCTAATTTTGTCTATTCAATCCTTATTATTGATTAGTCAGTTGCTCTGTAAGCATCTGCGCATTAAAGGATATTAAGTGTAATTATGACATTCAGTATATATAATTACACGAGCTTATTACATGCTAACCGAAGATAATTTTAGCTTGTAACTGCGCTGAATATGAAATTCAAATTTCAGATCATTAGCGATCATTTTAGCTGTCGAGCAAAGTAGAATCCTGATGAATTTTTGCAAGTGTTCACCGCTCAGTTCGTTCGCTTAGACACAGATATCACTAACAACATTTTTGCTAGCTGAAAAGTAAATAAAGTCCGGAAGATTCATCGATACTTTGTTAGCGTTTTGAGTAAATAAAACAATTATTCCACTCGCACTTGCTCCGTCTGAGATGATTATAGCCAACCCATATCCAACAACCGGCAGGTGGAATAATTGTGTTAAGAAGGAATCCATCAGGAAATTGAGTAATTTTTATTTTCAGTGGACAAAAGCCTTGAACCAGAATAATTTAAACAATATCGCATTCTGCTTTTACCTTTTTAAAGGGCTAAAGATGAAATTAGTTAGACGTGTAATAACACCAAAGAAAATTTCTTATGACAGCACGAGAAAATAAATGTCAAATTTCACAAAATGGCATCTTACACATGACATTTTCAGAGTTTTACCTTTGTTTTCACATTTTTTTTTTTGAAAATTTGACATTTATTTATAGGGCTCCCATGAAAAATAGTATTTGTTGTTATTACAGTTAACTAACTTGCATTTAAATAACCCGTGAAAAATGTAAAAAAGAAAGCGATTTTGTTTAAATTATTCTGGTACCAGGTTTTTTTGTCCACTAAAAATTGAAATTATTCTATTTCCTGATGGATTCCTTCTTAATGCTACATGTAACTAAAAGTTGGGGCTCAACTTGGCCGACGAAAGTCAATAACTGAATTTGCCGTAAATTCAGCATCTAGTCTAATTTGGATAAATGTTATGCGTCACGTTACTGGATTTTTTGACTTTGACATAAAATCATGGTCTTTACTTACAGCGGTATCCTTTCCTTTCTGTAGTCTCCTTGTGACAGTTCGCCCTGTAAGAACACAGGTAAATGTATTTCGTTGTGCCAGGAAAATGGATATAAGTGTATCTGCGTGGAAGGATTCACCGGAAAAGACTGCGAAACGAGTAAGAAATATAACTGAGTTGAAGCAAGGTTGCCGCTAATAACACAATCACAGGTGACACACTATTAACGCACTTTGCAAGTGGGAACGGTTATCAGCATAAAGCTTTTGTACTGATTTTAGGTATTATATTATTGACCTTTACTTCTTTGAGCTCACTAAAATAAAAAAAATCTAACTGAGAAGATTTTGAAATCTACCTTGAAAGAAAAGGCGACCGATAAGTATCACGTTGAACTTTTACTTTTCCTTCACGTTACCTGACCACAAATTTTAATTTCCCTGCTTGATCGATAAAGTGACTTATTTATAGACAGGCCTTCTCCATCAACCTCTAGAACAACGTTTACATTAATTAGTTGTGTGTTTTGACTCTTGCTGAAGTCTGAAGCTAGTCTAATGTACCTTGGCTGAAAGGTACATATCATTTTTTTTCTTTTAATATCTTTGATTCTCTCTCCTGCAGATGTAAATGACTGTGTCAATATTACTTGTTTGAACAACGGAACTTGCATCGACCTAATCAATGGCTTCAACTGCAGTTGCCCTCCAGGATTTGCCGGCAACCAATGCGAAATTGGTTAGATACTTATTGCTTGCTGCTATTTGCATTGCATTTACGCCAAAACGCAACATACTATATATCCCGTTTAAACACTTAATGTTCGACGCTGTTGAATGCTGATAACTAATAAATATGGATCAATTTTAATTTAAATCCGATCCTACATGGATCCTATATCATGGACATCATCCGACAAAGTTAATGTCATATTATGTTATACCAACAGAAGTTTTTATCCGGAGGCTCTAGGGTCCGCTGGATAATTATATGTTTTGCAATTTTATTGACCTCAAATTCCTCTTGGTCCATGAAAATGCCGAAAAAAAAAAGACTTGGCCAATAATAACGCATTTATCTTGGCCGAACAAGTTTGGTGATTAACGCATACATATTTATTTGTCGTTATTTTTTTATTATACCGTAAAATTCCGGAAATAAGCCCCGGGGCTTATATATTTCAAAGGGCCTTTTTGAGGGGCTTATTTTTGGAGGGGCTTATATTCGGATGGGCTTATCTACGGAGGGAAATTTGCGTTTCAAAATCAATTAGGCTTACCTTATAGTTAGAAGTAAGTTTACCATTTTTGCTTTGTTTTACTTTGTATTTAAGACCTCGTGAAGATAAGACGTGCTGAAATGTCAACGCCTATCCATCACTTCAAAAACTTCAAAGGAATTGGGTACAACCTTTGGGATCAGTGATTTCTGGGATCGTTTGGGTGAGTAAGAGTTAATTATGATTGGTCGATGGTATTCAGGTCAACCATTCACCAATCATAAGCAACGCTTGTTTACCTAAAGATCTAGAAATCGTTGCGCTAAGAGCTGGTACCCTTTGCCACTATAGTTCCTTTTATAGGGAATTAGATAAGTGCCAAAAGCAGCCCAAAATTGTTTTACGCAAGTTGTAATTTACGGTTGAAATCCCCGTGCAAATGGACGCAACATTGTTGGATGTTAAGTGCTAAAATAGCGTCCGTTTGCACATTCTGTTGTATGTCGTTGGTCGTTGCCTGTTATTGGAGATCATTGCGCAAAGTTTAAAGCCGATCAATCCAGCTGTCAAGAGCTTTAAGCCCCGTGCAAACAAACTCAATATTGTCGGCCAGCAGCTCCTAACATTGTTGGGAGTTTTTGCGTCTGTTTGCGCGTGGTTTAAATATTGCAATTTTTGGTCTCTGTATTGCACTTTTGCATTTCTTAACTTTTATTATTAGCGTGCTTCCTAATTTTGATGTGTGTTTTGATATCATTCTGTTACAGACATTAAAGAGTGTAAAAGCAACCCTTGTCTCAACGACGGAACTTGCACTGACTTAGTCAACAGATTCAAATGCAGTTGTCCGCTTGAATTTTTTGGGAAACGATGTGAAACAAAATCGAAAAATGGAGGTGAGAATCATAATTATGGATCATGTATGATGTGTACCACAAACGAATCAGCAAGTTGTACTTTGACAGGTTGCCATCTATAAATTCAAGTAGTCCTTTTTTTTTTTAAAGGTGTTTCGATACAGTTTTTCAGCGGCCAGGAAACTGATATTATTTTTTCCATAGCTTTAAAAGTGATTTTATAGGTATATGATCGCTATAAAATTTTCGCCAGCGATTGACTATAGATTGAAATTTGTCAAAATGTAGGTTTTAGTAAAATCGATATTACTATGACAACAATAAACAAAAAACTTTGAAATAAATGAAAGCTGAATTCTGCGCGATCTAAACTGGCTACTGAAAATCCAATACTAGGAACTTAAAGTTTGGTGTTTAGCAAATAAACTCCGTTAGAAATAAAATGTGATTTTCAATAGCCGTCATAGATTATTTAATAAAAATGTTACAAATGACTCAAATTATTCTTAAGTATCATCAGAATGCTGCTTAATATCAAATTTCGTTGCTAGGAAATTTGGGTGTATTTTCTTTCTTGCGATCTTGGAAACTAACCCGTTTTTTCACCACCTGTCTAAGTGCAACTTCGTTCAAAATCTGGACTTTTAGCAGAGTTTTGTGTATCTCTGAAACGGCTCAAACGAATTTTGTTTTTTAAATCTCTTCAAATAATCTTCATAATGTATATAATGTATATACCTTCAACCAATTTTCAAAAAAAAGAAAAAAAACTGGTGTTCTTATTGTTTTGTGTCCAAACCTTGTTTTCGCGATTTTCAGTTCGCACCCTGATTGGCCGGTTACCCTTCTGTCAAACTTCTCCAATGTTATATTCAAGTGTATCTTCCTAAAATTAAATCTCTTTCCTTAAAGAGGGTCTAGTTTGATTTCATTTGTATTTCCAATGATTTCCAGAGTGAGTCAGAATTTCAAACTGTTTTCTTGTTTGACTAAATGTCCACCTGAGAGTGTCTGCCGTCAGTTTTGCAATATGTCCATGCACTTGCAACGTCAATTGCATTCATTTTTCTGGGTTGTAGATTCTTCTGCAGGCTAGTGCTTATCTAAAAAGGGTTTACTACAAAATCATGTACCTCTCGTCCTCCTTTTGAGTTGGCTTGATGGACGTTCCTTTGTCGCCTGCACATACTTTCGAGGAAAGTTATCCCTAAAAAAATTGCGACACGTCTTCCCGCAAGTTTCGTGCACGGGGATAGCTGGATATAAAATGTCCCCAACAAATTTACACGACTGTGAAAAAAAAAATTAGTTGCATTATTATATGGCTGAGTCTGTTTTCGCCATGCGATTGGTCAATTTGCGGTACGTAACTTGCTATACGGACCAAAATTTTTAAAGAAAATGCTCATTTCGGAGGTCTAAATCTCTTTACCTGGGAAAAAATGTTTAAATAAAGTTATAAAACGCCTGTCAACCTTGAGGACTTGGATGTTGACTTTGGCCTTCAACATTTTAACTGTGTTTATTTGTGAACGAAGGCGATGAAGAAACTAACTCGTAATCTTATCGAACAGGATTCTAGTCAGTGTTTGAAAATTTTATCGTAGTACACAGTTAAGAAGACGAAAATCGACAGGCAGAGATTCGAGATGTTTTGCCTAAGAGAAAATGAGTAATTCCTTCAACAAATATGATAACAAACATACCTCCACCCGATCATCTTGACAAGCATCTTTGCCATTTGCAGTGTTTTTTAAAAGACCAACGAAAGAAAGATAGAAGCGAGTTCGAGCCAGACACAATTATGTCCAGTTTTCAAAAGACTCCAGCGCCACATTAACGAGTGAATACTTACAGTGCTCTGAGTTTCCACCGAATAAACTTTGAAATAAGTATGTGAACTCTGAGGACTGGGATGTTGACTTTGCCTTTCCAAATTTTAACCTGGCTCTGTTTTAATGAGAACGAAGCTGGTGTAGAAACTGACTCGTAACCTTACCGAGGAAGAGAATTCTCGTTGGTGTTTAAAAATTTTAACGCAGATCACACTTGAAGACGAGAATGAACTGGCAGAAAGAGAGGTTTTCCCAAAAACAATTAACGAGCGAATCCTTCGACAATGACAACAAACTTACCTTGAAAAGTTTCTTTGCCTTTTGCAGTGTTTTTTTCAAAAGGACAAACGGAGGAAAGATGGAAACGACTTCTAGACAGACACAACGTCCGTCCGGTTTCCAAAATACTCCAGCGTTACATTAAAGAGCTAAAACTTACAGTGCTCTTAGTTTTGACCGAATAAACTTTTTTAACATGGCAAATTCGTTTTTACTTTCTCGGAAAGCCTTTATTATGTGCTATTGTTTTCGTGCGCCAATAAAAACTTTCTTTTTTGACGCCTGTCAAATGACTGCCAAATCGTGCGTCCTGCACTTGTTTCCGGTCCCCCAAACAGGAAGAAGCCATATAATAAACATCTTATTAGCCTCGTTTTTTCGGTCCGTACTGTAAATTACGGATCCTCGTTTTTTTCCATCGATTTATGCATGGCCCCAAGCGCGAATAAATCGATTGGAAAAAAACTCGGTCCGTAATTTACCGTACGGACCGAAAACTCGGCTAATAAGAGGTATTTTTTCTCTTTCACCATTAGATGTTATCTCAACTGTGGTAACACAGTTTCTTTCGCCTGCGATTGGGAATGACAGCAACTGGGCCCTGTGTTGGCAGACCTCCACTCATGGCTGGGCTGTCAGTACCTTCCACAGCAGATGTGATGGGAAAAACCATACGATTACGGTCATCAGAAAAGACCAGTACGTGTTCGGAGGATACACTGATATTCCTTGGTGTAAGTGACTTTTTCTCCGGGGGCGGGGCAATAAAAGGGACGGAGTCCGCAAAATTAATATTAAACCCCTAAAGAAACCAATCTGGAGTGGCTTAGGCTATATTTGACAAATAATAAAACAAGTAACCAATTCCAGAACCAATCAAGAGCTTTAATGATCATGAAATTGCCTTGTGCGAAATATATCAAAATTGAATGCAGTATTCGACACAAAAAGGCGGCCAGTAAGCTGCAACAACAACAACAACAAAAACACTGACTAGAACCGTACAGTACGTACGTGAATACAGTCACTTTAGCTACGATCACTTTAAGACCCTTCTAAAAACAGTTAAATATAGTTTAATGTCCAAGTCACGACATTTGAAATAAATATGAACTTCGTTGACTTGTGTATTGAAATGGTTTTGTCAGTAGACATCTGGAGCTTGTATGTTTTGGTTTGTTGAATTAAAGTTAAATTCAATTGGGACCTTCACTGGGAAAAACATAGCCTCCCACGCAGACGTTCTTAGGGGTTCGCCACGCGTTCCTGCCCCACACAAACCTCTAAGAACGTCTGCGTGGGAGGCTAGGAAAAACATAAAACTTAAAGTGGTCTTTTAAGTGTCAGTTACGTACCAGTAATACCTACAGGGGTTGCTGTTGCAATAACCTTTTCTTTTAAGTATTCTGTTTAACCATTATATAGCGGATGAAAGACTGGTAAGCCCATAGCTATATCAAGTGAGTGAGTTGTTTGGCACAGTTAAGAAGCTCCTGCAGTAAAGGAATTCCTTCTTTGTGGATCTTGAACAGCCCTAAAATTTGTGGGGGTGGGGAGAGAAGAGCCTGCTGTGTTAAGGATATCAAGGGGACCCATCCACCCGCCCACTTTTAGGCGTGGTTCTCGGACGTTAGTAAAGATTTTAACGTTTATTCCACTCTTTGCATTTTTCTTTATGAAGTTTTAATGAGTTATCGGTTAATAGTTAACAACGGGGCTTTAGAAAAAAGAAGGAATCTTCTGGTACTGTTACTAGGTGCAGTAACGATACCAGAAACAATTACGGGACGCATTGCGGCTCCAGTTCCCTTCTCGTTTCTAAAGTGGCGAATTTAAGTTTGCTAAGAAAATCCTTTCACGGCGGGTTTACATCGTCTACGTATAACTGCTCCATTTCCGTGGCTCATAATATCCAGAGGAGATAGTCGGTGGTAATTAACAAGCTTTCGGACCATGTTTACCTGCACAGTCAACAAACAATACGTACAGCTAAACCGCACATAAAACGATATAGGAGGTGGTTCAAGGGGCAGTTCCGGGAAGGGGATAATATCTTATATGACCTGTACGGGGATGTGCCGCTGGACAGGGTATGATTTTCATCGTCTCTGTCCTAAACAGGGCAAACAATTTCTGGAATGCTGGGAACGGTCGAGGTGTAAGGACGTGTACTTCGGTGCTCCGCCTTTTGGCGTGTTATTCTTTGCAATTCGATGCCTCCAAAAGGAAAGATCGACCCAAATCTTTTCCTCGGACGCCTTTTCGCCCGAGTAAAAAAATAAAGAAGTTTTATGATTTAAAGCTCAAGGGTAATGGTGGTTACTAAGGGAACTAGAAAGTAGGAGTAATCGCTTTGCATCTTCAAAAATGTGTTTATGGCGGAGCTCCGACCAAATAGTCGTCCGGATCGTACAAACAATTAGACGCACTACCTAAAGGTCTTAGTTCGCACCAGCTTATAACTTTCCATTCCTAGTGAAAGAGCCCGTGTATGCTAGTAGTGTATTGTTTATGCTCTCTCTGTAGTAGTATAATGTCCGTTTGTAGAATCGAAGTCGCAGCAATAGGTTTTTTTCTTTTTTTTTTTTCTCTTTTATCGTGTGTGCCGTCTGTATAGTTTTCGTTAGTTACATCCTTGCTTGGCTTTATAGATATTCGTTACGGTGGATGGTTTTTCAATGCAGAATAATAATAATTGGTTTTCACCATTATAATTCTTAAATGTATGTTCATTGAATGTTAGAGGCTTATCATGGCAAGCTAAACGAAGAGAAATGTTTAATTGGCTCAGGGAGAAAAATTTCCATGTTTTTTTTTTTATTTTTACAAGAGGTGCACTGTACGAAGGAAACCTGTGATTTATGGCAAAATGAATTGGGTTATAAAGCTTTATTTAGCTGTGAAAATAGTCGAAGGGCGGGTGTGGCCATTCTGTTTAAAAATAATTTCGATTTCGTTTTAAACAAGGATTACGCAGACCCAGGTGGTCGTTTTATCATTCTAGACATTAAGACCACAGACTTATGTTTTACGCTTGTTAATCTTTACGCTCCAAATAAGGATGACCCCCTTTTCTTCCAAAATGTTAAAAACCGAATACTCGAATTTGATTGCGATAACATCATCTTTGGTGGACATTTTAACTTGATTAAAAATGCTAAATTGGACAAGGAAGGTGGCATTCTCGGCACCTCGCAAACGAAAGCGCTCACCGAAGTAGAAAAAATTCAAATTAACCTTGACCTAAGCGATATCTGGCGTGACCAAATCCCCTTGACAAGAGATTTACATGGAGAAGGCGTAATCCATCTATATCCTGCCGACTTGACTTTTTTCTTTTAAGTCGTCATCTCCATGGTAAAGTGGCTAAGTCTGATATCGTAGCTGGTTACAAAACCGACCACTCTATGATAAGCCTCAGCTTGGGTCTTACCGAAAACATCAGAGGCCATGGGCTATGGAAACTTAACTCCTCTTTCCTGATAGACGAAGAATATTTAAAATGCATCAAGAAGGTCATCCTTAAAACATGTGACGACTACAAAGACGACAAGGATGTGGATGATGCCTTGTTGTGGGAGATGATTAAACTTAAGGTTAGAGAGTTCACCAATTTTTCACGGAAAAGAAAAAGCTAAGTCCAAGCGAACGGACGAAACCAAACAATACTATACGATCACCTAGCTAGAGAAAAAAAATTGATGGCACTATGTCCCCCATTTTAAAAGGGGAATTGGAGCAAAAACTGATTGAGGCAAAATAGACCTTGGAAAAAATGTACGAATATAAAACCCAGGGAACTATCTTACGGTCCAAAACCCGCTGGTATAATGAAGGTGAAAAAAATTCAAAATACTTTTTCAACTTAGAAAACGTCACTTCAAGTGCAAAGTTATAACTCATCTTTGTCGAGCTGACAACACAACTTTAACATCCGATAATGATATTCTCCAAGAATGTGTTGACTTTTATAGTAAACTATACAGCAGCAGATCAATACACAATGAAAGCGATAATCTCCGGTTTTTCACCGCAGATGACAATTTTGTGCGGCTCGACGAGGATTCCAAAGCATCCTGTGAAGGTCTTTTAAATGTGAATGAATGTCTAAATGCTCTCAAGACGATGGAAGCAAACAAGTCGCCAGGCTCAGATGGGTTTCCAGCAGAATTTTATAAGGTTTTATGGAGTGACATTGCCCCCTTTTTAGTGAATGCTATTAACTGCTCTTTTCAAAAAGGGCTACTATCGGTGATGCAGCGACAAGGTATTATTTCTCTTTTACCAAAGAAGGACAAAAAACCCTCTTTTTCTAAAAAATTGGAGGCCAATTTCTCTTCTAAACTGCGATTATAAAAGCGATAGGTAATCGAATAAAGCGGGTTCTTCCTAAAATTATCAATGGTGATCAAAGTGGCTTCTTGAAGGGACGCTCTATTGCAGAAAATATTTTTCTAATTGACAGTATTATAAATTACGCAGGTAATATGAATAAACCTGGTTTATTGATGTTCATTGACTTTGAGAAGGCATTTGACTCGATAGAGTGAGCTTTTATAGAAAGAGCCCTTAACTATTTCAATTTTGGGCCCTCTCTAGTAAACTGGTTCGGATTATTTTATAATCAGGTCTCCATTGCTATCCAGAACAATGGATGGGTTTCGTAGAGCTTTTCTTTAGGTAGAGGGTTCAGGCAAGGTTGCCCGATGTCGCCATATCTATTTATAATATCGGCCGAGATATTAGCCAACTTCATTAGGAGAGATAAAGACGTAAAAGGTTTTATGACGGGTGAAGTCGAACACAAGCTAAGCCAATTTGCTGATGACACGACGTTGATACTCGATGGCTCAGAGGGCTCCTTTCGTAGAGCAATCGAGGTTCTAGATGGGTTTCAAGTGACTTCTGGCCTTAAGGTAAATTCTGAGAAAACCAAAAGTGCTCTGGGTGGGTTCGGCAAAAAACAGAGGCCCTATAGAGTGCTACAAGCCTGATATCTCCTGGGTGGAGCGGAAAGTCTTTGCATTAGGTGTACGTGTGGTTCGCAACGGACAGAAACGTAATGCTCCGCTCTAACTACGATGAGAGGATTGGGAAAATAAAAAACGTTATTGAAACATGGCAATTTAGGAGACTCACCTTATTGGGAAAAATCACTCTTATCAAAACAGGGGCACCCAACGTCAATTTTCGGAAAATATCTGTTCGGAAGATGATTTGAGATCTAGAGTTTTCGGAACATTTTTTGTCAAATTTCTTGCTTTTGCCTGCCTCTCCTAGGATTTTGAAACATCTAAAACATGGTATAATTGTCCATTTTTAACGGATTTTTACCCTAAAAAGGTCACCTAGAATTTTCGGGAAACTTTTTTCTAGCTGAAATTTTCGAAAAGGTATGTTTCGATCCCCATAATTTTCGAATCACTAGACTTTCAGCTAGGAAATCCGAACAGATAAAAAATTTTTAGGGGATAAAAATATCCCTATATCTATCGTTTAAATACTAAAATACGTTTAACAATGCTATGTTTAAGTGGTTTTGAACTATATTCTCGCTGGGTGCCCCTGTCAAAAGTCGTCTGGTCTCCCTACTCATTTATATTGACTCCGCTCCCTACTTATGCAAACGCACTGCAAACGGTCAACAAACTTCTTTTTGAGTTCCTTTGGGACGGTAAAGGCGACAAGATTAAAAGAGAGCATATTATAAGGGATTATGAGCAGGGTGGTTTGAGGATGATTGATATACATACGTTCAATAAGTCTCTCAAAGCATCCTGGATCAAGAAGTACTGCACTAACCGATTTGCATCTGACGGGAAGTCCTCTCTAAATTTGCACCCTCTACCGCCATTGATCTCGTTCTTCTTATTGGGAGTTATCTTATATACTCGAGCAAACTTGCAGGTACGTCTCCCTCCATGACTCTTTTTAACAGCAAACTAAATTCCGTCATTGAGATAGAAAAACAAGAAGCACTCCGCTGTAATTCTTTCACCGTCTTTTCGAACAAATGGAAATTTTTTCTTATTTAAATTTGTTGCTTGCACTTGTTACCCTCTAGCTAATCGCTTTGACTTAGACATGTGTCCTGCAAAGCTGAGCCATCCACCGTCCACCGTTCACCGTCCTTTCCTTTTATTGTAAGTAACTAAGCGAATTCAAGCATAAATGTAACCTCAGCTATTTTTATGTTTGTTTCGTCAAGTTGTAATATGTATACGTTTTGTGTGATGTAAATTTAGCTTAAATAATAAATTAAATAAAAAACTGGAAAAAAAAAAAACAATTTCGCCAAGTCTTTCCTAAACACTTTACATGTCAAATTTCAAAATTAAAACAGTAACCTGATTCTTACGGCAGGAAGAGTGATAGAAAAAATAAAGAAAGAAAGCAAAAATAAAGTGGTGAATTATATTTGTACATGCAGTTTGTCCTAAACAGGGTATGTATTTTAAGTTGTTGTTGTTGTTGTTGTTGTCCCATAAACAGGGTCAGGGCCTCAAACCCTCAGCGGCTCACCTCTACCCAGATATTGGACGAGTAACCCCCCTTCCCCCAAAGGGGGAATGTTAAAATGTCAGGTAGTTGAAAGCCGAAATTATAATTCAGGTTTTTCTGTCTTGTTTTTCAGCGTCTATGAATAATTTTGCTGCTACTTCCAAGTCGTTTATTTTCTCCCTGGTGGACAAGGAAGGACTTGCACCATTCAAAGCATGGTAAAACATGCCAGGTCATCAAATGCTATTTACTGTGGGGCCAAGTTACGGTCCAACATTTGGTTTGGTCGACATACGCATTGCTGATAATGCCAGTCAGAATACTCATTCCTACACTTATTTTGGCCTCTATTACTCTCTCCCGAATGGAGTTTCTGACCGTCGTACAATCCTGGCTGGAACCGATAACTTTTCACCTGACGAGGTTGAGGTATTTTATCTCGCTTGAGTTCCGTTGTCTTTTTATCCCCAGGCACGCAGAAACCATCAGAACTCAAAGAAAAACTACACCCCCAAAAAATCACTTTAAAACGTATTGCAGAGCAGGGAGCATCGGAATGACTCAACATTTTGATTACTCTATGTTTGATTCATGGCCTTAGTTCATTATTTAAATTGAACGTCACGCACGTACGAGTTCGGCGGTCTGTGACACGATCGGAAGCTGTCTGCGAGTATCGTAGTTTTTAGTCGCAGTATCCTGGACATCAAAAGCAGATGCATTTTAATTTAGCGATTACAGACTTTCCAGGTTTTTTTCAGTCGTTTTGGTGCAAAAATGGTGCCAAACATGGGTCTACGACGCGACGCAGACCGGTCTCCGATCTGTGTTTACATTTGTTTTTCATTTACGCGTCCACACGTGGCGTACTTGAATCGTGTCTGCCCGTCCACACTTGAAAACGCTTAAACGATAAAAAAGCCTGCATAACAGGCGCTTTATAAGACAAGCGAGGCGAATGCGGCATTTTGCACGAAGCGCGTGACGAGGCGAGGAGAAAAATAAAGCGCCTGTTACCAGTCCATTGTTGTGGCTTTTCCCACGTTTACTACATGAACGTTGCGTTCATAAGCTCGTCACCTTGGAATTTGGTTTGAACAACACTTTTTCCCTCTTTTCTTTCTCGCCGCTGTGGTTGGACATAAACTTAACTTTGACTGAGCAAATCTTACTTTTGCCTCACTGAGTCTTTGTCCTCGCAGTTATTTCCTGTGGGTTATAATTATGCTACTGTCGGTGTTTCCGGTAGCCAGAAAGGCGACAATTTTCGTGTAATAGATCGTGTTTTGATTGGTGCTTTTGATATCACCGCCGTCAGTCAATACTTGTGGGTGTAGGATGGCCGGAGAGCCACAGCAATGGACTGGTGACAAGCGCTTTATTTTTCTCCTCCCTCTTCTCGCGCTTCGGGCACGTTTCGCACGTTTTTTTTGAAAATGCCGCGTTCACCTCGTTTGGCTAATAAACCGCCTGTTATGCAGGCTAACGATAACCTCCCGCTGACGTCCTTTGGGGTTGGATTGTCACGCATTAGGCTGACGATAGAAAGAGACGAGCATTCAGTCCATTGTAAGGTTCCACTGGACATAACAAGGGCACCCGGCCAACGATGGTTTCCTCTTAAATACACTGGGAAAACTCTTTTTAAGTTTTCCAGCGTACTTTTAGATCTCTAGAAATGCATTCTGAGAGGCGCTTTCCAGTCTTTTCGAAATTACAAGGGCTCAGTTCAGAATTATTTCCATAAAATTTTAGATGCAATTTAACGTTTTACGAAAGTGATAATTTCTTTTTATACCTCTCTCCATCGCATTTTTAGATCGGAAAATTTTAAGTTTCGTTTTTCTACGAAAATTAGGGGACTGAGTATAAAATATGAGAAATTGAACTTTAGAAAATCGTAGGAACTTATTACATAAGCTTCGAAAATTGTACCTGAAAGGAATGGTAACCTAACAATTTTTAGTCTTTCCCCAGCAAGGAAAATTCTGGGCAATATTTGCTTCTCCGAACAGATAATTCACCGAAAACAGTCGTTGGTTACCCCTGACACAAGTTTTGACACAGCAAGGAGTGTTCCATTAATTTAGTATAAAAAAAGTGTAATTGTTTGTGTTTATCTTCTATACCCATTCTTCACGGTAATTCTGAGTTCAATTATTGTTGAATCGCGTTTGGTTCCAATTACGACCAACGAATATATCATTTCTTGTTTGATTTATTGTACACATGATATTTCAACTTGTGGGTTGAGGAACAGTTGCTAGGGTCAATCGGGATCCATTGCTACATAACGTGACTTAATTTTAGAAGCTTTATACATCAAGTGTGCATGCTGAGTTTCTTGTAATGATCAAGTATTTGAGTCGATTGTAAAATTTCCTTTGAAAAAGTAAGACGTGATTAGATAACACCATCCTCGGAGACCCAGGAGCTGCTAATCTGGACGATAGAATGTTGGAGGTTAAAGTTTACTATGTGATCGAGAAGAGCCCCTGGGCTCGGTTGCATAAAGCGTGCAATTAAGTGCCCACTTAATTTTATATCAGCAGGAGAAAATGCTTCATCATTAAAAAAAAAAAAACAAACAAAAAAACAAGAAACTTCGATGTAAAATATTTCTCGGAGGTAAACAAAGCACATTAGAACGGATTTAGGGAAAGAAAAGACTTTTTCACTTCTCAGTAAAAGATCTCTTTAACTGCCATTTTTCCCGTAGATGAAGTTTTATGTAACACCCCCAATTTCCGTTGCATAAACGATTCTTAAGTGACAACAATTAAGAAAATCGTAAGTGCAGCCACTTGACTGAATTCCTAAAGTGGACCACCTAAGTGATTTAATGCAACTCACTTAAGCTACGAGTACACGTACGTATACCCGTAACTGTTACGGGAGTTTCATGCAACCGGGCCCTGGGCACTTTCTCTTATGGAAGCGAATGAATGGCCTGCTTCTGATTGGCCAGAAAATAAATTTCTAGTGTATCAGCGAAGCCGAGCAGCCGGGTGACTCTTTGCAGGTGTTTTCTAACACCACGTGGGTTTCCTCATCGATCGCCATAGTTATTACCTAGCGCGTTCAACGGGGAAAGTCTCAGAACAAAATGTTAACGAAGCCGAAAAAATAATGCCTTTGCGATTCTATCGCGCTTTTCAAAAACACGCGAAATCTGAAGCTCAAAAGCCAACTGGTGTTTGCGTTTTCGCTGCTGTCAATCATCTTAGCGGACCTCATGGGAAAAAACTTTACTTAAATGGGTTCAAAAGGTCATGGTTTTGTGATTTGTGATTGGTGGATTTCGATCCGGTTTGTGTGTTTCTGTGTTTCAAGATCCCTTGCTTGTGATCGTAATTATGACTGACGGCAGCGGAAAACGCAATTGTGAAGACTATAGAGTGTATTCACATGACACTACGGTGGCCATACTTATGTAAAAAAACTTCTTTTGTTCCGATAAATTTGCACAGATCCTCGCCACGTGAGTGAATACGCTCCATAAGACGGGTTTTGAATTGTAGAGTTCACATGTTTGTGAAAAGCGTTGTAATACCAGTATGGGCATTAACTTCGTGTTCCGGACACAAATGCGGTAAAACAAAAGAACAAAAATATCATGAAACAAAACGTTTTGCTAATTGTTAGTCTTCGTCGTTTTTAGCTGAGATTTAATAGTAATAATATTAATAATAATATCAATAATAATAATAATAACAATAATAATGGCTTTATTCAGCATTTCCACTAGGTGGCTTTTCATTTATTTAAAACTTGTTTGCTGTAAACTAAAGTAGAAGGAGCTTTTTATAGAGAAAACCTTGACCTTTCGCATTTATTCCAAAAACAGTAGAAATAATAGTAAAAGAGTGTATTCATGATACCAACCATATGTTTACAAGACAAAATTATCATTCAGATAAATTTCTGAAGAGGAATCCCAGCACCAACTTTCGAGAAAAAAAAAAACAAGTAAACAAAAAGACAAAAACGAAAGACGGCTTTGCCTGTCGACTCCTGGCAGCTTTTAATTTCGATGCTTTATTCGCTATAACATTGAGTAAATCCCCTTTGAATTTCTACATATGAGACTTTTTACTTTATTAAATGTAAATGTTGTAGTTAATTTTACCTCAGATAATTTTTATTTTTCTTATTGTTTCAACTTCATTAGCGTACATTAACATACCCAAAAGCAAAAGCAAACCAAAAATTACCTGAGATAAAAAAAAAAAAAAACTACAACATATACACCGGACGGATTTAATTTCAACCATGGTATTTGTGTGGTGATTACACTCTTCAAGGTAGCTTTTATTACCTGACATGTGAAAGTTTTTACCTGTCAGTTTACGAATGTTCCTTGTGTGACATAATTCATATAAAGTGATTAAAAGCTCTTAGACTCAACACGTGCGCATGCTCGAGAACGCCATTCCAATACAACTCAACTTTCAGAACTGTGAAACGAGAGCAAATAGAAATCAAAGATTGGGATGAGATTAACTCTCACGGGATTGGCTTGCCTAGTCCTGGTTCTGCGTCTTCCTAGGCCTTCTCGGTCAATGCGTTTCGGTGAAGTATCCAACGCTCAACAAGAACTTACTCAAACCACGTGATCCGAAACGCTTCAGACGCGCGCAATAATGAGGCCTAGGGACTAGGCAACGGATAGGCTTGGTCGCTTGGTTAACCAACATGGCTGTCGTTCATTGTTTTGGAGGGTTGTCCTGCAGTTATTTCAAACAAGGTTTGTGATTGGCTGAGAAAACAATAGGGATGGTGATATAACAATGCTCCTATCCCTGAAAACAATGCGTAGTGCAGGTTATAGGGACCAGTGAAATAAGAGGTTTGGATAGGGGCAGGTCAATCGGTTTTGGAAATAAGACAAATAAGGCCACGGCAACGTCATATAAAAACGCACTTTGAGAAGCTACAAGCTGTCTGAAAAGTTGAAAATAGTGTGTTGAACTTTGGCTAATGCAAGCTCGGGCGCATATGTCAGTTAAAAAAAAAACTAGCATTAATAGAAATCGAATAGCTTTTAAGAGGTAACCCATCCTAAAGGGCCTTTACTACCAAATGTTGTTGTCTATGCTTTTAAAGTTTGGGAAACGCACGTTGTAATAAAGAGCACTTTGTACACCAGCTTTTTTTTTGTCATTCGTTTTGATGCCTTCTAGAAACCCCTGTGTCTCTCTAATAGCGGAGCTCTCGCGCGC